GAAGCCTACAGTGGAAGCAAGGACAGGTAGACTGGGAGGATTGCAGGGAAGTTGTCTGACAAGTCAGGGATCAGGTTAGGAAAGCTAAAGCCCTAACAGAGTTAAACCTGGAAAGGGACATTAAGGCCAATAAAAAGGGCTTCTATAGGTACATTGTGGATAAAAGGAATAGCAGGGAAGATGCTTTCCTCTGCAGAAGGAAACGGGAAAGCTCGTTTCCCAGGATACGAAGGCTGAGATGCTCAATGACTTTTTTACCTTGGTCTTCACTGGCAAGGGAGCTAGCCATAACCGCCAATTCGCAGGAAGCAAGGGCAGGGACTGGGAGAAGGGAGAGCTGCCCATGGTTAGAGAGTTCGGGTTCGGGAGCACCTAAGGAACCTGAAGGTGCACAAGTCCATGGGACCTGATGGAATACGTCTGCAGGTGCTGAAAGAACTGGCAGATGGGGATGCAAAACCTCTATCCATCATATTTGAAAAGTTGTGACAGTCTGGTGAAGTACCCACTGACTGGAAAAGGGGAAACAACCCCCTTCTTTAAAGACAGAAAAAGGATGACCCGGGAAACTACAGGCCAGTCAGTCTCACCTCTCTGCCTGGCAAGATCATGGATCAGATCCTCCTGGAAACCATGCTAAGGCACATGGAGAATGAGGAGGTGATTGGTGACAGCCAACACGGCTTCACCAAGGGCAGATCAAGCCTGATGAATACGGTAGCCTTCTACGATGGGGTCACGACCTTGGTGGACAGAGGACGGGCAACCGATGTCATCTACCTGGACTTGTGCAACTGTTCAATACCGTCCCACACGACATCTTTGTCTCTAAATTGGAGAGACATGGATTTGATGGACTGACCGCTCGGTGGATAAAGAACTGGCTGGATGGTCATATTCAAGAGTTGTGGTCAAGGGCCCAATGTCTGAGTGGAGACCAGTGATGAGCAGTGTTCCTTGGAGGTCGGTATTGGGACTGGTACTGTTTAACATCTTCATCAGTGATGTGGACGGTGGGATTGAGTGCACCGTCAGAAAGTTTGCTGACGACACCAAGCTGTGTGGTGCAGTCAACACGCTGGAGGGAAAGGATGCCATCCACAGGGACCTGGACAGGCTGGAGCGGTGGGCCTGTGCCAACCTCATGAAGTTCAACGAGGCCAAGTGCAAGGTCCTGCACCTGGGTTGAGGCAATCCCAAGCACAGGTACAGACTGGGTGGAGAATGGATTGACAGCAGCCCTGAGGAGCCTGGGTGAAGCATGGAGTGACAGCAGCCCTGAGGAGAAGAACTTGAGGCTACTGGTGGACAAAAAGCTGAACATGAGCCAGTAGTGTGCACTGGCAGCCCAGAAAGCCAACTGTATCCTGGGCTGTATCCAGAGAAGCGTGGCCAGCAGGTCAAGGGAGGTGATTCTCTCCATCTGCTCTCATGAGACCCCACCTGGAGTGCTGCGCCCAGCTCCTTCTTATGCTCCTCAACATAAGAAGGATAACTGACCTGCTGGAGCGAGCCCAGAGGAGAGCCATGAAGATGATTAAAGGGCTGGAGCACCTCTCCTGTGAAGAAAGGCTGAGAGAGTTGGGCTTGTTCAACCTGGAGAAGAGAAGGCTCCAGAGAGACCTTACAGGAGCCTTCCAGTACCTGAAGGGGCCTACAAGGAAGCTGGGGGTACTTTTTACAAGGGCCTGTAGTGACAGGACAAGGGGTAACGAGTTTAAATTGAAAGTGGATAAGTTTAGATTAGATATCAGGAAAAAGTTCTTCACAGAGAGGGTGGTGAGGCACTGGAACAGGTTGCCCAGAGATGTTGTGGATGCCCCATCCCTGGAAGTGTTCAAGCCCAGCCTGGATGTGGCTTTGAGCAACCTGGTCTGGTGGAAGGTGTCCCTGTCCATGGCAGGGGGGTTGGAACTAGATGATCTTTAAGGGCTCTTTCAACCTAAACCATTCTATGATGAGTGTACGATCATTTATAGGCACTTAACTCCTGTATCTCAAAAAAAAAAAAAAAAACCAACCCACCACAAAAAAACCCCCACAAACACACACACAAAAAAAAAACCCACGCAAAAAACCCAGGAATAATCCTGCCTCACACAATGGTCTTATTAGACACTTTTTTTTTGCCTGGAAAGAGGATGTTAAAAACTCAGTACTTCCAGTTCAAGCATATGAAACACATTTCATTATCCCAAGTAGCCAGAGAAGTAATAGGGCTACTGTAAATCCCCATTTAGAGCAACAAGCACATTTCTTCCATACTCTCATCTGTTACCATTTCAAACTCCTGAATGTACTTAACTTGCTTTTTGAGGTCTTTTACAGGCCTGTCTTTAACAATTCATTCCACTAACATCCCCCCGAAAAGTCTTATGTGAATGTTATCTGTACTTACACAGGTTTTACACAGAACTGTAAGCGTAGAACAACACAAGTTCCAGTGACAGTTAAAGCAACACTCAGATATTTTTCACTTAATATTGTAGAAAAGGAATTTAGTATATTCAAAGTGTTTTGCTCACAACTAAAAGAGTAGTTTGCAAAACATTAAAAGCAGCAATGGTAATACAGACTTTGGGAAAAAAAAAATACCGAGGATACAGTGAGCTGAGACTCCAGACTGTACAGGAATACCCTGACATGTTTTAATGACAGAATGGATACTTCTTTGGAATACTGTGAAGCATTTTAATGAAATGAAAGCCTGATAAACCTCTCATGGACAACTGTTTAGCTTTGTTTTGCTTAAAGGAAACTTGGCTTCACATGACAAATTACAGTGAAGTCTTATCTTCAATTAGATGACACTAATACTACAAATTTCTGACATGCATAGACAAACCTCTGAAGCAATTATGACTACCAGCAGAGATATGAAAAGGATTTTTCATAGACTTTGTAGTTATCATACTGGTTCCTATAATCCATCTGTTCACAGAACAAGTGTATTTCAAAGCCAGAGAGCCTTTAATTACAAAAATATATGCATAATGAATAAATGCACAACACAAACTCAGACTTGTTCTGTAATTTAGTTAGATGCATGGTGTGCTTCGTGACTGCTACTGTTAAAAACCAGTGTAAAAAGAAAAGGAAAAATACTATGTTGTAATAAGTAGGGTGAGATAAATTTATTGCCTTTTTAATTACTTTTTTTTTTTCTTTGCAGTTCACTTTTTGGCTTCTGCAAGGAGAAAGTGAATCATTGCCACAGAAGGAAACCAGCAGTTTTGTAACTAATTTTAGCTAGAAACAGATTAGGATGCTAAAAAGAATAACTGGTATTCGGAAAAGGATCAGGTCCATGGTCGATTAAGATGACTAACACACCCATCCACTCGTAACATTTTGATGCTTTTTAGGACATGTACGCACATCTCACTTTTTACATGGCTACTCATTTGCATCTGCGTGTGATCAGCCGCACAGTCCATTGAGTCTTTATCACATATGATGTGCATGGCTGAGAGATCTCTATCTATATTAGACAAACTGGCTCCAAAACAAGACTTGTCATGTATATATAGGACTGGGTTTCTAACAAAACAGTGTGAGCTTTCACTACTTAAAAAAATAGAGTTACAGGAAGGGGAGGTTTTAGTAGTGTTGCTCTTCTTTCTCCATCCTCTTTCCTTTACAGCAGACAGGTAATTAGAAAACTTCCCCAAAATAGTGAGAAATTATCCTGTCCACCTAGAAACAGGGTTTTTTCTGGGTAGCAAAATGTTGCAAATTTGACTGAAACTACACCTTCCAGAAGGGAAAATAAAAAAATTTTAAAAATCCAAGATTCACTGGAGGATAAGAACTGCAGAAGAAAAGAAATTTTCTATCTCAAAGTCTGACATTCAGTTAATGAGCAAGTTTTGGGTTCTGATCTCTACTGATTACACTGTTCCATATTAGATGAAACAGTCACTGGAAGAAGGAAAGAAGAAGAGGTGATAGAGAAACATTCTTGCATTAAAGAACAGAACCTAGATCTCTCAAACAAGTATCTTGGACTAATCTGCTCAACGACACAGAGCCATGATGTATTGGGTTTGTGTGGCAGGGTTCTGGTAGCAGGGAAGGGGCTCCAGGGGGTGCTACCTAAACTACCTTAAAGCTCTGCTCACATTCCTAAGACGACAAGGTGTTTCTGTTGGGTTCTGAATTCTGGTTCAGGGATTAAACACTGACAAAACTACATACAGAAGTGAGAAAGCATCTACAACTGCTTCCAACTCCATATTGTTTTGCTTGGTGCTGAAAAAATTGCTCCAGAATAAAAATGCTACAGCTGCTAACCAGCCTGGATAATGCCAACATGGTTAAAATGCTTCCAAGACATGATCTGGTCTTTCTATACACTGCAGGCATGTCACAAAAACCTGTATTGTGAAACATTACTGCACCATGCAGTGGTGCTATAATACCACTAGCTGCACCTACCTGAAAAATAACACACAAGTTTACTTCAAGTAAATACTGGACAAGCTAGTTCTTTAGTATTAATGAGCAATTTTTGGGCCAGAGTCATGTCTAGCACTCAACATCAACTACTGCTGGTTTTGTGGCCTTAAAGTGGGGCTTAAATTACTAAAAGATACAGCTCTTGCTACAGCAAGAGTTTAAAGACCTCAATATTTGCACTTTCAGTCATAAAACATACTTGAATTTTAAACCTAACAGGAACAATCTTAAATCTCAACAGCATCTTACGTCACTTACTAAAAATCAGGTTTTATTTTAAATGCACACCTTCCAGAAGTTAGAAGGTCCTTACCTGCTGATAGTGGCGTGTACTCTGTATCAAGTGCATATACATATTGTACACAAAGTTAGCCATCTGGGGCATGTTCTTAATAATATGTGTTTGATGAGATGGTCTTTCTCCATTCTAAAGGAAGGGGAAAAAAAAGTAGACATTCAGCAGGCAAAGCAAAATAACCATTATTCGAAAGTTATTCAACTGTATTAGAAAACATCAACCCAAGAAATTAAATTATGCTTAAAAAAAACAAAACAAAACAAAACCACAAACAAAAAAACCCACCATCACACAAAAAACAACCCCAAAAAAACAACCAACCAAAAGCTGAATTCTGTGGACGATAGGAAGCCTAGGTCTACACTTTGGTGAACTGGGTTAGTTATGATACTGCAGCCCAACAAATTTCAAAAGGAAAGGCTGGGTTCTGATGCTTACGCCATAAAGTACATATTGGATTTGAGTTATTTAATGTATTAAAGGAACAAATAGTGTAGCATCAGAGTAGGACTTAGCCTGCTTGTCCACCACCATCCAGCTCCTTCTTGCTCACATCTGCCGACCACACACAGTACACTTGTTGCACAGTGGACCTGAAAGTTTCAACTGAAATGTTCCCTCCCAAACTTGTCAATGTGACTTAAGACCAGGGAAAGACCTGTAACTGAATTTTGAGTTCATGTAGGCATTTCTTCTCAAGGCTCCAGGAAGAAAAGCAGATGCACTCCTCCTTTTCATTTAGCACCCTACTCTGTGTTCTGTGCTTAGATGCTTAATACAAACCTTTCCCTAAAGATCTAGGGCAGTATTACAAATGATGTTTTCATACTTATGAATCTAGCTCAGTAACACCACTCTCTTGCAATTCTGGACCCAATTTAAAAAAAAGTTAATTGGTTATCCTGAACTACTCAGTCAAATGTAATTTTACTTCTTTTAAGAAGTGATTAGCTTTGTGTGCGGGGGTGTTTTGGTTTTTTTTTAGAAATAACATTGTTTCATAACAAGACTAAAAATCTATAACACACTAAAAACTCACCTATTTATCATAAAAGAAAAATATTGAACCACTTACACAAGCAAAACTTAGGAAAAAGCAGCCAAAATAGAGTTACACTGATAAGTTTTGTGGAAAAAGAAAATCAGTTAAAAACAGCAAGTGTGTATGATGACAGAAGTTAACTCTAGGGACATAAGTATCCAAGAGGCACCGGTTTAGCAGAGAAGACAGTCCCACCTCTTACAGCCCACTCAAAAACAAGTGGGCAAACACACACACCCCCATTAGAGATAGCAAAATTCAGAATGGCTGTTCCTACCTGTCTTGCTGTTGGAAAACGTTCTGTGGGAATGATATGGAGGTGAAGTGGTCGAGCTGTGAGTTGGCTGAAAGCTGGAGTTAGCTCAAAGCAATTCTGAAACAGTGATACCCTCGCAAAGATATAAAGCCCGAGTCTGGCTCTTGACATTGCAACGACTAATCGTCGGACATCCCTTCAGAAAACAAACAAAATCAATCATGTTCTTTTCACTGATTACATAATTGTAATAAAGATAACTAGAAGTATACAGAAGTCTTAATTAAATATAAAATCATCTCCTAAACCACTATTTTGTCTTTATTTTTTACCGTACATACTGTTTCGATAACTTCCAAATCCTAGAACCATTATATAAAAGAGGGTTCACTGTACCAATAATGATATGAAGAATTATCCTCTACTGTTCTCCCAGACTTCAGAGGTGAAGACTTACATTGAGAACAAATCACAATAGCATTTTTGTATCCCTGAATGAGTAAACACGAGTTTGATAATTCATCTAACCACTGCTGAACAAACAAGTCTTCCTCCACCCCACCCCGAAACTGAGGTGCAAAGATGTTAAACCACACATCCTAACACAACTTATGTGGAAATCAAACACTTTTGACACAAAACAAATAAAAAGTTCACTTACAGGAAAGAATCTAGGAGAAAAATTAAGCCTGCATTTGTTCAACAAGCATTACCTTCCTATCGTTCTAATAGGGTGAACCCGAGTTCAGCCTATCTGCAGTAATATAAACTAATTATAGTATAAGAGCCATTACTAAAGTATAAAGTGGTTGTGAAGAGGGTACCAGACAGTTATAAAAGGAAGTATGTCTGAACTTCATTCACTAAGCTTCATGTCTACTACATACTCAAATAATTGAACACTTCTGTATAACGTGCTATAAACATCTTTCTGATACGGCAAACATGTAGTTTAATGACACTCCAAGAGTATCTTCTTACATACCGAAGGTGGCCTACAGCTTTGGTACGCACTAGTGAAAGGAGAATATAATCATTCTGTTGACCTTGAAATCTGTCCACAGTTGTCACCTAGAGAATCAAAAACCAAGAAAAAACCTCCATAGGTTAATCTTTGCCATTTCAAATAAATGATGACACCTAAATTTTAACATCGTCCTCAGACTGAGATTGCAATAAATGGGAAAAGAGAATGCTTTAGCTCCATTTTAGCTGACTCTAATCCAAAATCAGCCTGTTCTTTTTAGAAGAAGTTGGGAGGAGCTTTTGACTGACTGTATACCATTGTTTTACATTTTTATTCAATTCAGACAGCTAACAGTGAGGTGCTACTACCAAAAGTTTGTGGAAAGCTATCAGTTTTATAATACAGCATTTTAACCTGCAGAATTAGCACCAGACTTTCATAACTCTGGTTTTTATCTGCATCTTCAGATTCATCATGATACATTTTATCTTATCATTTCCACTCTGCATGGATCTTCCTAAAGGTGTGGTGTTTGGCTTGTTGGATTTGTTTGTGTTGGGGTCTTTTTGAGGACAAAATAAATGACAAAGAAAAGCATTATTCTGTCCCATGTAGTATGTAGCCTCTCCAATTTCACTGACTTCAGCTTGTATGCCAAATTACAAACAGGCAGAAACAAGGACACTACTCTTAAGAAATTCCATAGAATGTAGGTTATTAAATGTGTGGTTAACCAGGGAATATTTGTGCAGACAGCTGTGAAGCTATTCAATTAGTCTGCTCTATAATAAGACAATTTTAAAACAAACAAACCAGAACCACACCAATAACAGATGTATTTTCAAAGTCACCTTGTTTGGCCGTCCAATCAGTGGATTATTACCACACCGTTGATTAATGACATCACGGATCAGGTGTTTCTGTCCATTGTATGTTGTCAGGATACTTATCTTGTCTGCTGGATAACCAAGCAGGCACATATACATGAAGAGTGCTACAACATACTCCGCTTCACCGAGATTCTTAAGTTTAAAACATGGGAAGGATAGAAAAAAGAAAAAAAAAAAGGGGGTTACTCAACTTGTAAGGGTTTTGAAAGAAACAAGCACAAGTAGGTTTAATAGCTCCATTCTGACTCATCTTCAGAGGATTGCAGAAAATCTCTCAATATTACTTTTAGTCACTGATTGATCCTTTCCAATATTTACTTAGAAGCTCCCAGTTTCACTTCAATGCAAGATTAAAATCTTAATATTTAATAGCCCATTTAAATTTTATTTGTGAGCTACTGAATATTTACATGTTTGCATATAAATGCATTTATACCCTTATAGCTGTCTGCCCAGCGTAGCTGCCATCTTAACCAATACAACATTTCATTTTGCCTTCTTAAAGATGACATGCCAAAAAAACCCCACCTGTTATGTAAAACTGTGGAATTATTATTTGTTAAAAAATATTTTTTTAGTAGTCTACAGATACCAGTATTTAAACACAAGGGTTAGCAACACTTAGTGACAATGTAACAAGATTCCAAATAAGCATGCAAAAAAGTTGCAATGACTCACTTTCCAGTAAGCTTAAAGTAAGGACTAGTTGAACTGGAGTAACTAAGCTCCTTTCAGCTATTAACTAGGACAGAGACATCTGGATTATCAAATCCAGTTATTTCTGAGGCCATACCTATTCAATTTCAAATAACCAGCTGTTATCTTGTATGTTGTAACCTTTTTATCTGTACCATTACTAATAATAAATGTCTGTCCCAAAGAATCCCTCTTTTGGCTGTAGGAAGTTTTGTCTTATTTCCAGACTGAAGTTATTCATAGGCCATTTAAATCCCTTTTCTGTCAACAAAAACTATCTTTCAGGCTAAAAAGTTATTCTCAATTGCTGACATTTTTTTCTATTTATTCTGGCAATCTTATCCCCATTTGGTGTATGTTTGACTAGACTAGACATACCAGTCTCTTTTATTTCTTCTTATTAAGTGGGCTCTGCATTACTTGGAAAACGCAGTTGCTACACATATCAAACACCTGTGGACGTAAAGCTATTCTACAAATCTTAATCCCCTTTAAATCTGGAAAGAAATGCCCAAATTCACAAAGAGATATAATACATGGCTGGAATTTGTTATCATTCAATGCCACCAACACCCTCTGCTACTATCTCTCCATCCTCAAGATCATGAAAAAATTAACTGTAGGACATAATGTAAGAGTTTGCCCATGAAAGCCCTGTTGCAATGATAAAGGTGTTCTGTGTCCTGGTTTGAGTGTTCTCCGTATTCTCTGGCCCAGGAGTAGACTAAAGCAGTGCTCAGATTCTCAGTGATCAGAATCCTGTGTTTAAGGCACTAATTTCAGCTGTTCCACAGGACAACTAATTGTACATTACAGTGTTTCAGCTTAAGCAGCAACATCATAAGAAACTCTCTCCTCCAAGCAACCGGGTCCTCAAACTAGAAAGATATGGTGGATTATGACTCACCTTTGCTTTGCTCACTAAGAGCACACTAGTTTGTAATTAAAAAAAAAAAAGAGGAACCCAAGCATAAATTCTGAGTATCTTTCATGTCTTTTAAAAAATAGATTAACGTAACTCTCAATGATCCTCACAGCAAAAAAACCGACCACTAATATTATCATCTTAAAGTATTTTGTTTGCTTTCTGTAATACTAGACAAATTATAAGCTCTTAATTCCCTGTTTGAATTAAACTCGTTAACTTGCTGTGCACACAGCTTCAGCCTCTAACTTTGCCAAAACCCAAACTGGTAATTTAGGCACCAAAGTTTGTTTCCATCACTGTTTTTAAAACAAGAAAAATAAGAGAACTGAAAATGTAAGCATCTCATTACAAGTGTAAAAGGTTTTCCTGTATGAAGAGAAATAGATGGAGGCTCTTGTTGCTGTCTTGATTTGAAAATTCCATTGAGAAATTTCAAGGCTAAGATGATTTTGGAAGTTTACTTCAGCCTCAAATGTCTCTGTGCCTCTTATGTATACTTCTTGCAGTACGGTGCCACTGTCTTATGAATGGGCTTTTTAGCATTCTTACACATAGATCAAATCAAAACAAGCTCTCTTCAAACAGAAAGACGTGCCAAAGTGCAAACCTTAATCCTTCCTGTACAGGGGCAATGTTAGTGTTGATTTCACTACCTTAGCATTACAGCTGAATTACAATGGACTGCAATTTGCCACACCAAAATGTTTCATAATGAATTATACACCAAATCTCACCCCTCCCATAACACTGAGAAAACACAGATATCAGTTATTCACTTTCAACAAAAAGCACAACATAATACATTACCACTTTCAACATTGAAAACTGATTAGAAGGAGAAAAAAAATCATGCATACGCATGACTCAATTATCTAAGAACATGAATTAAACACCAGTTTACTGTGTTTTCATAGTCTGTCTTCACTGCAGATTCAATAAGCCATACCCAGATTAAATCAAGCATACACGTCATATTTCTCTTACCTGATAGAAGTAAGGATTGGGTTCAGACTCTCCCACACCATTGAAGTCTTCTACATTTATAAGCTGGAAGTCATACAAAAACCCAGCATTGGCTGTTCTGAACTCTGGCAGAAGCTGCACGTGAGGCAGGTTACCCAGATTCTTGTACCGCCAGTTGTAGAGGTTACATAAACTGCCAATAACACACAGAGACAAACCCCAAATAGTTAAGGCACGTTCTTGAACTCATTCCAAGTAGTTCAGATACACACAACCCCTTGTTTTGAAGATGAGTGCTTCTGCAGGTTTTCAATGAAAAACAGCCTGTACATGTATAAAAGAATGTGCTTGTACAAGCTATCCAGCAATTATTAAGTTTTGATTATGTTTGGTTCTCTCTCATGGAAAACTTCAGATTTCACTTCTTTTTAGAAAGCTCAGTGTGGCACACTCACCCTTGAGCCTGTTACACATGATCAGCTGTACACTGATGAGTATAGATTTTGCAAAGAAATTAAGCAGGAATTTCCATGGGAAATAAAGCTTAAGGAATATTAATGCTTCTTTACCCCAAAAAAAAAAGAAAAGGAATAAGGGAAATAGCATTTTCTGCACCATCCACTGTAAAGCCTTTTGCAAAAAGAAATTAATTCTCTTATTTTATGAATTATTAATATGAGGACATGAAGGGAAGCAACAAAAACCTACACAATATTTCTAGGGACATTAATATAACCAAAATGCCTCAGTCAAATGCACAACAATATCCAGGCCAGATAAAGTAGCTGATAGGTCACGGGGAAGCTACCTGTGATCAAAAAAGACAAAGCGTAGGAAAGTATGGAAAAAATCCTTGATCAAGAAATTGCTTGCAAAGTGAAGGCATTCTTCTCTTGTCTCTAAGAGCTTCTCTGAGATGTTGTAAAACAGTAGATGGAAAAACGAACTTCATTTATCATCATACTCATATATAATTTGCATTTTGAAAATCATACTGAAAGTATTATTTGTACGAATACTCCACCACCACCAAGGGTTATAAATAAACTCTTGAAATTCTCCTTTACACTGTTTCTGCCTAAAAAATATCATTAGGATTTAAAACTTAAAGTAGCAAGATTTTGTATGAAGTAATTTTCTCTTCTTAGATTTACTTATTGTGTGTAATTCAGATGTCTGATTTTTCCTTGTTAATAAGACACCACAAACATGCACTTTACACAATAAATAAATCTGACATCTGAATTACCACACTGAAGTGACAAATATGTAAGACAAAAAGAGAAGTTATCTCAGTTATCTTAGAAGCTCTGCTGAAATACTACAAGAAAACTACCCTTTTGCAGAATATAAAGGAAACGTGCTATGGTCAAGGACAAATAAAGAAATTATATGGGCTTGCATATATTAAACATACTAGTTTAGAAAAGGAAACTTCTGCAAAAAAAAAAAGTCTCAGCTGTAAAAAAAAATCCAAACACTTCAGACTATTAACATTCCTTTACATTACTCATATAGTAGCAGAGTACTACTATATAAATAAAAGAAATTAAACAAATGGAACAAAACAATAAAATCAAGCATATTGCAAACTCCTGTCCTAACAATAGGAAAAAAGTTTCCAATACTATGTGTGCTTTTCCAATTTTTAACCTTGTAGTTTCTTACAGCCTAGAAAGAAACTAGGCTGTACTTTCCTCTGTCTCACCTTGCTCTTGCTCTTCCTTGTGCATCCAAATCAACAGTTGGTACTCCAACACGAACAAACCGTGTAAAAAGTGATTGCTCCATGTTGGAGTATTTCTGAAAAGCCATATTCTTAATGACTGGTGGCAACTGATGATGGTCACCAATCATAATCCACCGCTTCAAACGGCTGAATCCATCCTGGGGGTTCTAGAATTAAACAGTTACATAATTATAACCAAGGCACCCAATTATAACACATCAATAGTCAAATTGGCTGTCTTAGACTAAGTCCTAAATTTCAACATTTGTTCTTAACCTACACTGAACTGCGTTCATTTTAAAGATGATTACTGGCTTCTTTCTAATCTGCTACCAGAAAGAGTGAGTAATATTTTAAATGGTCTTGTTTCTTACAAAGTTACGTATAGGTTTATCTGTTAAAATCAGTAGAGAAACATCAGAATAAACACCATATTATATTGTTTTAAAGGCCAAAAGTAACATATTATCAGAGGATGAAAGGAAGAAACAATTATAGAAGTTACAGAGTAAAAACCTTACTTCTACACAGTACTGTTACCCTAAAACAGTCTTTTATGCATTATTTTTGATTCTGAGATAGTGAGTATGAAATGTCTGAAGCATTTGAAACAAATTTTACTGCTCACAGGTCAGGGGCACAAAATGAGCCTGCTTTTCAAGCACCTCTGTGGTTCATGTGCTTCACCTGTTTACTTCTGGAATTCCCACTCAGCCTCTTCCATACCCAGGGTGTGCCTCTAATTAAACCTCACCCTGGATCTAGGATTGAATGCCCTTCAGTATATTTACTGTATCTCTTCCCAGTTCCTCATCATCCTTTGTGTACCTATGTTACATACTGACAGAGCTCAAGGAATACTGTTATTTTTTTGTCCCTGTGTTACAGAAGTGTGGGTAACGTTATCCAGGAATTATAATCCTGAAGATTTCTACCTGCTTGTTTTACAATTCAGACCCTCATTTCTTACACACTTGATCTCCTGATCAAGGAGGAAGGAACAAAAACTGAGCTCGGGGCTGTCCAGCTCATCAAGCCTGAAGATGCCTTAGTAAGAAAGTAAGAGGATGGAAATTATTTTCCATGGTATGAAAAAAAGGTGTATTTTTTTAATTTTTCTTTTCCTACAAGAAGGATGTTGATTTGGAGTAGACCACGTATTCTATATAATCATTCTGCGCTTATCAACAATTTTGATCTTGGACAAAGAACCCTCCAAAGAACTCAATTATCAGAAATTTCTTACTCTGAATTGCAAGTGCAAGAAACTGAGTACTATTACTCTGTGAGCCTAGTTTCTGCAGTTTTGTTACAAAAAAAAACCCAAAACAAACCAACCAACCAACCAACCAACCCACAACAGAGTTTTCAAGGACTATTTGGATGGCTCTTGTAAGAATGATCATGGAACGGCTCCCAGAATACGGCCCTATGGTGAAAAGGTCTGCTTTAATTATACAAAAAACTCTTTGGCTTCTGCATTGCTTGTATACACTTATTTCCTCTCACCAGCCTGATGTATCTCGTTATTCAATGCTCAAACATCTGAAAAACACTAAAATGCTTATTTCACTAAATATAATAATTCCATTATCACTGAAAACCATGGTAAAAGCCACACAGGGTTTATTCATTCCACAGCACTTCCGTACAATGTTGTGGCATTAAATTCAAGACTGCCAAAATGTAAAAGCAAGAGCTTAAAGCATTACACCTACCCTTACGCTCAGAGATGTAAATATCTAACTGTAGGACAAGCCACCTAAACAGTAACTTACACCTCCATACCTTTGAAACAGTTAGATCTCCTCAAACTAAGCAGTACTAAGAAATCTTGTATATCGGGTTTAATCAAACTGGATGCTGTTCTGAACACGACATTAAGGATTCATTAAGCCTGGAGGACAAAAAGGTACCAAGTCTATTCCACTGGATTACTGTAATTGCTGAACTAGTAAGTGAAAAAGAGCTTGACAGTTGCTGGTTTATGACTTGTGAGAGGCCTCACCCATTAGAGGCTTGCCCTCTGAACACCCCAAACAAGATGGACAAATGTGTTCCTTTTCAGAGTTCAGGCAGTATTTGGGGTTTAGAGGGTGAATTAGTTGCGTAGCAGCCCAGAATTATTAAAACTCAGCAGTCTAACACATTGAGAAGGTGTGAAAGAACTAGATTAATAGCCCTAAAACTTAAAAACCTACAGAGTTAAATAGCAACTGAGAACAGGACTTGGGTTTTAATAGCAATATGGTTAACTTGGACATGCCCATTTTTCTGTGCAGCAGGACCATACCATTACTTTTCCTACCACTGTATTCTACTCTCCATTGTGAAAGAGCAAAATGAAATATTATGAGTTGCAATTAAAAATGTATCAAATATTTCATGGAGTTCCTATCACACCTTTTTCAACTGAAACTAATTTTCTTTTAGCATGAATAACCAATAGCTTGGATGTTGTTTTCTAAAAGACTTAAAATGATTGCTTGTCAATGAAAATACCTGCTCCAGGCAAAACCTCTGGAAGAAAACTTAATTTTAGAACATGAGCAAATGCAGACTGTGTGTTTTTCAGACAGCCACCACTGTAAGCATGAAATCAACAGTACAGACTATTTGCAGTTTTACTGGCTTCCCACAGATAAAGAGTTTGCACAGAGTTCCTGAGGGACTGCATACTTCACTTCCAGAGGTGACATTTTATCTTGTGATAATCTGAGATTACGGAGGTAAGAGCCACAGATGTGCGAGAAGCACATTTTGCTTACTTATTGAATGCTCTAGGTCTTAGAAGAGGAAACTGATGGATCTCAAGCTCAGGTTGCTAAAAGCAACCACAGATAACCTTCACTGGAGGCACAAAAATATTCAAGACAGTCTAAGTGAATGTGTTGAATTTAGAATTATCAGAGTTGGTGTTTTTTTTAAGATACTCAACTTTAAAAGTAACATTGTTGGTCCTCTATTACACCAATCCCTTATGTTACAGAGCCATTGCTACCTGGCTTCCTAAAGACTGTGCTATAAATATCTCCTATAAATATCTCCTCTGCCACATTAGCTTCAGTTTCCTTCTTTCCTTTCCTGCGTTAGCAGTAGTTTTCCAGCTGCAAGAATTCTATTCAACTGTCACATCTGCATTCCTTTATCTGCCAATTGGTGGTTTGCCAAACACAGTACAAGCTACAGTTTTCTCCATGCTGAATATTTACCAATTAGCTAGGCAAAAGGTACATATCTATTGGGCAAAAGCAGAAGTAGAACCATTAACCATTTCTTTTGTTTCTTGTAACATCAAATAGGATGTCTCCTCTCTACTTGGCTCCAATTCTCCTGAGAGTTGTAGGTGCTTGGTATCTCTCTCTCACTGTTGATCTTGACCAAAACTGACTAAACCCCACAAGCAGACAGACTGACACAGAGCAATCACGTGAGCCTTACATTCTTGGGAAACAAACATTACTTAATAAGAATTATTAATTTTAACATTAAATTAGCAGTATTCACAATTAAATGAGAAAGAAGAAAAGAAACTAAGTCAGGACCTAGTCTACATAAATATCTTTGCCTCTTTATTTTCAAAATGAAACTCTGCTAATACTACCTGCTAATACTACTATTTAGTCAATAAGAGAAACATATTTAGAACCTACTAGTTTACTCCGTAATATTAAAAAACAAGGATAAACAACTAGCAGAGAACAATGTGAAGGTTCTTCCTGTCCACTCAAATGGGAAATAAAAGTTCTACATTACTTTCTGGACAAAGTATTTTTCTTTTAATATTCTGTATAGTTCAAGAAAACACACTGTCATTTATAATTTTTTGTAATATGTTTTATAATTCAGGTCTAACCTGCAACAGGAGAGGTATAAAGGTTTCTATCTCCAGAATCTGAGCAGACTCTTCCATTAAGATGTTGTCATACTGAGAAAGAAAAAAAGTGAAGAGATGTCCATTAACCAAGTAATACAAATTAACGCTGTTATTCAGCCTACCAAAAGAAAGCATCAATTACTCATTCGGTTTTTGATGGGTGGGAGAGTTATAGCAAGATTTTACCTTATAGGTAAAATATCAGTATTACTAAAAACCCATGTCAGAGGGTGAAATCCTACTACATCAATGGCAGATCTATCTGAACCAACCAGGGCTTATATGGAGAAGGAATCCATGAAGCAACTACATGACGTACTTCCCACTCGCAATAGACAAGCTTTCTGCAGTGGAGCAAACTAATTTGACATCTTTGCACTGAAGCAGAAAAGAAACAATTTTGTGATCGAATACAGTGCATTATCAGAGAAAAAAAATACTGAAAGAATTATTGGTGGTGTGCTTTTTTCTTTTGGTTTTGTCAGATAAACGTCTGTACTAAATGAATGCCCATGGTTAACACTGCAGAGCAAAACCAGCATTGCATCACAGTTATTCTCCTCAAATTATTCATTTCTTATGTAAACCAAGTTACAAAGACTATGGGTTTTTTTTCCCAATTCTGCCTTTATTTCATTACTCATATCACTGCTGTTCATCTAATATGGCAAAACTAACTTTTTTAAACAGAGATGCACTATTAAGCATTTTTATATATACAGTAACTTAAAAGCGATCTCAACTTTTACTGACAGAAGTTAAATTTTTCTTCAATAAAATTTCAATTTGAAACATACTGTAAAAAATGCATCTAAAAATAATCCAGTTACCTAGATTTAGGACACAAGGATACAAAAAGATGTATCTTGGGGGTGGGGGGATGGGAGTAGAGCGTGGCAGGAGCAGGGAATCAAACCCAAAAACCAATTAGTGTAGTAACACTAGTATAATCATTACTTTGAAACCTAATTCAACCAGGTCATGTCGTTTCAGAGCAGCATGAGTACAAGTCATGGCAATAATTTTTGCTTCTTTCACCAACAGGTATTTGGATCTATCCAGGCCACTGCGGAGAAGTTCAAATGCTCTGAACTCCTATGGAGGAGAAAAGAAAAATCTTGAAAGTCAGGATACAAAAAAGTTTGAGTGAATACATTTTATAAGCAATACCTCTGGCCACTTTCTTAATATAATTAGGCAAGAAGATTATGAAATTATCTACTGTTAGCAATCCCACCTAAATTATTTTTTTAATGCTAAAGCTGGAAACATCAAAATTTCAAAAAGCAATCTCTTAAAAACACATCCAAGAATTTTGCAACCTGTGTGCATATATAAATTCGCAGACAGTTATTCAACTGATCTGAAGAACCCTCTCAGATTTTACTCTATCATCTTGCTTCCTACTTTACTGCATCATAACATCACATCAAATTCAGTATCAGAAAGACCAATAGTTAATACCACCAAACGATACCCAGATCACCATAAATTTTAAAAGCCTCTCAAGCAATTCTGTGAAAAACAGAAGACAATCTGCTTAAGCCCCTTCTAGGTTATCTCCATCTCTAAATACAAAGACCCTGTGAGGATCAGTGGAGCAGTGATAGGCGCACCAATCCTAGTAACCTCATCAGTCAGAAGGGAAAATGCAGAACGGCTGCTTCCTAAAATGAAAAAAAAGATTAGGCCCTTGTTCTGTTGTGAAACATGCCTATATTACTCAAAGGTGGAAATTCTCACCCAAATGCCTTCCAAGTTAAAGAAGCTGCCTAGAGATATATACTTCATTTAGGATGTAGGGCAAAGGAGAATTTTGGAACTGCGTAGTTTATTTATAGGATTAACCAGATCCATTTACCTTTAATAGTTACATGTCTTACCTCAAGCTGAGTGAATATTTTCCTAATGTGTCTAAAACATCCTTCAGCTATTTCCATATCTTCTTCATAGGATCTGCCTTTGAAAATTGGTTGAGGAGCATTTGCAAAGTACTGGTGAAAAGGAAAGAAACTGGAGACATCCATAACATCTGGCAATTTTCCACCTTTAACCTTCACTTTGCTGATATACTCCTCCCAGCGAGACATTACCTATAGCAAACAAAAGTGTCATACTGACATGTTCTTATGTCACTGGCATACATAACTTCATTGGCAAGGTGTAGTCTTGCACTCACAGTATTTAAAAAAAAAAAATTTGTGTTTAAATTGGCATTTGACTTTGTATCAGAACAATGTTTTCGATGCCTCAACAGGACAGAAGGAGAAAATAAGATGGAAAAGTTTATGGGTTCAGAGAGATCACTTAGCAAGTACCATTACAAGCAAAAGAGTCTTGACTAAGAGAAAATTAACTTAATTTATTGCCTATTAAAAATAAGAGTAAGATAGTGAGAAACAAAGACAAGACCAAAACTAACTTTCTTCTTTACCCCCTCTTTCTTCCCAAGCTCAATTTCACTCCTTCATTCCCAACTCTCACCTGCTACCCACTCTGAGCAGTGCTTGTCATTCAAGTTCATAACACCTCATCTCTGCCACCCTTTCCTCCTCACAATTCCCCCCTGCTCCAGAATGGGCCTTTCCACAGGCTACAGCTTCCTTCAGGGCACATCCACCTGCTCTAGCACAGGCTCCTCCACAGGCTGCAGTGTGGTTATCTGCTCTGACACGGTCCTCCATGAGCTGCAGGAATACAGCCTGCTTCATCATGGTCCTCTCCACGAGCTATGGGGGAATCTCTGCTCCACTGCCCCCAGCACCTCCTGCCCCTCCTTTTCCTTCCCAGCTTGGTGTATGGGGTTGTTTCTCACACTCTCCTCTCTGCCCCCAGCTACTGTGCGAGGTTTTTTGACCTTTTTTCTCACAGGTGCCAGTGTCACAGACAGGCTCAGCTTTGGCCAGCAGTGGGTCCGCTGGAACTGGCTGTGTCCAATACAGGGCAGCCCCATGCCTCTTCTCACAGAGGTCACCCCTGCTGCCCCCCACGACCAAAACCTTGCCACAGAAATGCAATACAGAAGCAAATCTCTATTATCTCCACTTGCAGTACTTTGGTAAGGAACTGAACCAGAAGATGAGCTCTAGCAGTGTTCCTAGTACTCTCCAACACCTAATGACAGCCAGCTGTAGTGTGGGCCTAAATCAGAGTAACCTGTAAAAACATATACAGTGCACACATTTGATCCTAAGTACCACTCTGCAAGTCTGACTAACTGGTAATATAAACCACATCACTGAAAAGTACATGGAAGGGAAAGGAGGGCTATACAATATACAGAAAATCACTGTTTTGTATAATGTGCATCAAAGTCCACCCTGGCATTTAACGCCACAAAAGCTTTCTAGCAGGATCATCAAGTAGATGCTCTAATGCTTATCCAAAATGTAAAGCAGCCCACAGATTTTACTAACTCAAGGAGAAACTTCAGGTTAGAATCTCTGCCAGTAGTCATGAAGAACAGCAATGCTAGCTTTTCAATTGGTGAGTCATCAGGCAGGATTTAAAACAATAGCAATACAAGTAAGTAATGCTGCAATTATAGCTTTAGCTGTTACTGTATTTTGAACCACTAAAGAAAATGCACTTTTTTTTTTTTTGACTCAATTCTGAAAAATTCACTCCAATTTTTACAAAGTGTTTTCATACTGAGGTCATACAGTCTCTGTAGAAGTATTTCAGTCCTTACTTGGTATAAGAAAAAGTGGCCAGCTGTTTCACAAGTGTAAGAAACATCTCCTGGGACTCCAAGACTCTCTTGCAACCGCCCAACTTCTCGCAGAAGTTCAAGTCTTCGAGCCAGTACATAATTAACTCTTCCATACCTACAAAATGGATTAAATACAGCATAATTTGTATTTAAATGTGTTTAATTCAAAACTACTTTATTTAAGTATCACAATGAGAGATCGCAAGAAACTCCAACACTTCCCAAAACCCCTTCCCCCAGAAGAACTACCATGTTCCAAAACCCAAGAATTTCACTAAAGGCCCAACATTTCTAGCAGTTGAGACTAATAATTTACAAAGCCATGCAAGAGCCATTACTGTACAAAAAACTCCTGTTATCCTGCCACTTCAACAAGAGCTTCATAAGTGTTAGTAAAACATTCTCATAACGTACCTGTAAGCAGAAAAGCATGACTTCCAATGCACTGTTTAGGAACTATGGTACACCACACGTTACACAAACACAAGCTAGTTATACAAGTTATGGGCCATCACAAAGGGAACCTATACCTGAAGTGTCAGTATGATAAGGCTGACTTCCTTTGGCAATAGACAAAATATCTTGCAATAATGCTTAGCCTACCATAACAGACAGGTAGGCATCCACACACAGGCGGTCTTCTAAGTTATTGAAGAGGCAGCTGCGAGTACAACTGATTAGTCTGTAACCTACTCCCTTCCATTTCCCCTCCTCTTACCCAATTTAAACCCAGTTTTTCTCCTTTATAAATCAATTTCCCTAATCCATGCACCCCCCCTCCCAGAAGCAGAACAAGAACAAAAAAAATCAATGTATCACATGTTTTGAAAAAGAAACCAAATTTAAGTGGTATAAATGGGTAGAATTAAAGAAGTGAGAACAACAGGACACTTCTAAAAAATGCATACATAGTTAAAAGCTCAAACGTGAATAAAGGCTAAATTTCAAGTTATTAGACTTACTATTCATAAAACATGCTTTCTGCACAGAAAAAAGAAAAAAAAAGACACAATCCTTGGTAATCACAATAGGTTTTACTGTCTTATTTAGAGGGGTGAGAGTAGTCAAAGCTGGAGATTCACATTTACTAAGACACAAATGAATATAGTATTGTTCACAACTGGAAAAACCAAGTTCCTCAGGAACTATGACAGTTAGAACCTTGGCATAATAAACAGTTTTTTCTTCTTGAATAAAACTAATCCATTATAATTACAAGTGACTGCAACCAGTTGTGGTTCTCTCACACACACTTCCAGTGCCCTCTTATTTCTCACAATTCATGTCATATGCACTCTTATGTATTCGTTCACTGCTACAGAAGTTTTCTTTAGCTATGATTCCCTCTGTGTTTAAGTGACAGTATCAATTTAATCAGCTCCTCTCCACCTTATTTCTTATAGCCCCTGCCCCACTTTGTCATGCCTCCAGAGGGAGCAAAAGATGAACACTAAGCTTGCCAAGCAGTAGAAACACCTTAAGCAGTGTTATGACCTCTTCTAAAGCAGCTTGACACAGAAAAAACACGAACTCAGAAGCAACCTAAAAACAAACAAGTGGCATATGGGAAGAACTTCTCACAGCAGTGCAGCCTACCTTCAAATATACGCCTCAACCCTTACCCCTCCCTCCCAAACTGCCAGAACCCACAGGACTTGTAGTAATGTTCCACAGGTCTGGAGTTACCTTGGGAAAGAATGAAAATACACCATGTAGAGTGTCACAAAGGAAACTCCTTTTAGTGATGAGCACTGCTGTTCAAGGAATATACCAAACCATGGATATTACTAAATAAATATCTCCATGGAATCATTTAACTAAGACTTTGGCTATCAAGTTTCTGGAATAATTTGACTATGTCAAAGCATTCCAATTTAATTAAAAAAAAAAAAAAAACACAACAAAAAAAACACCAAAACAAAACCAAAAACAAACCACATCACAAGGTATTTATGTTTCTAAATGAAACTCAGCTATGCATATGTGGGTAGCTTCTAGTGACTACATATAATTTTTACTACAGCTTTTGAAGTCAAAGTATTGCTATAATAATCCAGTACCGGACAGTTCAGTTATTTCCAGTGCACAACCCTCACACCCCTGCTTACATTAATAAATGTGTGTCATCTTACTGACATCAGTTGGACTAACATGTAACAGACATACAAATAGTCACAAGAACAGGTCCTTAAGACTTTGCACTGATACAGACTTGATAGCTTTATGTATGTATTTTTCGAAGCATGTTGTTTACCAATTAAGTATTTGTTACTGCAATATTCACATGATCAGTAGAAGTGGTATCATAGTGTCATAAAAAAATTTTTATCTGCAAAAACCTACCTTGTATTTTAACTTACTCTCACAAACTAGATCAATCCTATAAAATGTATATGGACCCAGAATATAATTAACTACATTTATTCAAGCAGTTGAGCTTGTGAACAAGCAACTGCCTGATTCTGCCTCTGGACTCTCAAGAGATCAGTTTCTGTATCAAATAAGAACGAGAATTAATTAACCCTGTATTAAAAACAAGTGTACTCTGCGTTACTGGGATTGAATAATAAGAGAAATGTAAAACTTGCCAAGCACAGCTCCTTGCCTATTTACAAGGGAGATAGAATGGATCCAACACATACATCTTGCTAAAACATTTATGCAAGCAGTGTATCATTAGCACCTCCTTTCTCACCTGCTGAAATCTTTCTCTGTCTCTAATTCCTCTTCTCCATGACCCAGACGCAGGAGGTGGCGCTCATCAATGTCCAGAGCCATGATTTTTTCAAACAGCTGGTTCAAGGCCTAAAGATTGACAAGAACAGGAGAAAAGGTAGTTTTTAGATGTTCAGAGGCTTTTGCAGGGGAAAACTGAAGAATTACTGGTAAGCCATCTAGGAAATTATGCCTGTTTTGGTATAAATGGAAGCCAAAGCAAATGAAGCTAATACCAAAACTAGAGCTCTAAATCTTGACAACAGGGAAATTAGCCTACTAAAACTCTTGTATTTGCATACTTTATATAATAATTAAATTTGATCTCACATTTTTAAAACAATTTCAAAGTTTGATTCTATCATTTAATACAGTTGATCAACCAACCATTATAGAAAACTGTCTCAAGAAGCATACTTTGCAAACATTGATTTTGTTAAATGACTTTAAACCATTTAACTGGTTGTTAACTGTGATCTGGTGCTGTGGCTCTATTCCATATGGACAAATAAACTTTGCTGAACTAAACTTGCAGGTGTCCTACATCTCCTGCCTTAAACCGCTCAATTCTCCAACAGCTTCATATCAACCGTCCACATCAGTGTATTTGAAGAGGTACGTTTGTAAGCACTGGATCATCAAGTTATGAAACCAAGAATAAAAGCAAGCTTCACTTGTACTTCAAGTCAGATGGAAGCCTTGCAAACATGTTAAAATACAGTGTCAAGGCATAGGGAATGAACCCTGCTGAGATACAGTTTATTTCCCAAAGTTCAATTTCAAGCTGACATTCTCTTACATGTCTTGTCTGGTAAGAAGAGTCTCCTACTTGCCTCAAATTACATCCTTCCTTTTCTCCCCAACAGACATGCTCTCAACCCTTTCTCTCAGCTTCATCAACTGTTACTCTCCCACAACACACTATAGATTCACCTAATTCCTCACCAAAATGAAGCCACATCCACCACTCTGATCAACAGCATGCCTGATCTTGCTTCGATGGAAAAAAAATAAATGATTTCAAAGTGGTATGTTCAGTTAAAATAGCTCATTTCTGAGATAGGATAGGCTAATTTGGGAGACCAAGAAACAGATGACTCTGGTTGCCAAACAAATCCTTCCAAACCAGATACAGATTTAGAGTAAAAATCTTTTAAGACTTTAATCATTATTATTCTTATTTTATATATGTTTAGAATTAGCAGCTAGACTCCATCTCTTATGAAGGGGAAGCAAGCATTCAGCTGAAGAGGCCACAGTACCTTTCATGTTTGCCCTCAGAAGCATGAAGCACTGAGCAATCAGTGCCTGAGAAAGATAGTTAGCAAAAATCTGACAGGCATGCACTCAAAGTGCAACTGTAAGAACTGTGCAGACACTTTTTCAAAATACTTCCTAATTTCTACTCCCAACCACTTGAATATACTGAAAACTTTTGACAAACAGCTCAAAACTACAAACCTGAAATTCAAGAATTTAATTTCACATTATTGTCATGGTTTAACTCTGGCTAGCAAAATATCACGAAGCCACTCTCACAAAACCCTCCTCCCCTTCTCCAGCAGAGGTGAAGAATTGGAGGAACAAGAAACAAGGACGCTTGTAAAATTGAGATAAGAACTATTTACTAATTACGTCTAAATGAAGATATACAAATACTGCTACTAATAAGAAATTAAAATAACAGAAAGTAAAACATACGATACAATTATGATACAATTGCTCACCACCCACTGACCAATGCACAGCCAGGTGCTGAGAAGTGAAAGCCAGAACCAGAGAGCCTGAGCGCGGCAGCCCAAACACTGCAATCCAAGGGCACTATGAGACCCTATCAGCAATAGCACGACCGGGAAAACTAAACAAAACCACCAATTCCCTTTCGAGCAAGCCAGCACAGGACTTAACAAAGCAGCTAACGCAGGAGTCAGGCAGAGGGTTAGCAAGTGTATGGGAGTGAACAAGCAAGAGAGTATGAGAGAGAGTAATGGCTTCCAGACCCCTCCTCGCCTCTGCCCCAAGCATGACGTACTATGGAATGAAACACTTCCTTGGTCAGGTTGGGTCAGGTGCCTGAACTGTGTGTCCCCTACACTGCCTGTAGCGAGATAGTGAGAGCTGGGAATGCAGCTGCAGTAAAGACCTTGAATTCGGTGCAGGCATTCCCCAGTGCCAGCTAACACCTTATCAGTACTTCTTTCTCCATCCAGGAACACAGCTTCCTGGCAGTCACAGTAAAGAGTTAACTCTTTCCTGACTGAACTCAGCACAATTATGAAACTGGCAAAACTGCACACAAGCCAACTCGTATTTTCATTGTTAAAAGACAAGTGCAATCCAACACCTACTAGTCTCAATAACTGCTCTTCTTCATTTTAATTCAGGAAAACTTTATACATGACTGATGCTTTACCTGATTAGAGTGCGTAACTATAAGAGTTCGTTGTTCTGGGAAATTATGATAAAGATTGGATATTATCTGGACTGCTACATCAGTTTTTCCAGTTCCAGGTGGACCCACTACCTAAAAACAAACAAACAAAATAAAACCAAAAATCAACACATAATTTATCAGAATATTGCACAATACCGAAATATAGCCAGTTAGGAAAAAAACAGAACAATCTCACAAGACACTGACATCATATATTAACAACAAAACAAAAGTAATCTGTTTCATGTGCAATTGCTTACTGGATTCTGTGAACTTCAAGAACAAATACAATATACAAGGACAGACTAATTCAGATTAGTTAGGCAGATTCCTGCCTAAAAGGAATATGGTAATCCAGCATAGGAATTACTATACTGTTTTGCAACAGACCTCCTCAGAGAAAAAAGGCTGTTTAGTCTCAGGATATAGGGAACATGACAAAACAAGCATCTAAACACATAACTGAAAAAAAATAAGGAGAGACAGATGTAAAAAGCAGAAAAAGAGAGTCTATTTTTATTTACTCAAAAATCTAGGTCTGATGATTGAGAATACTGACAGTTAATGTTTTTATAGGCACAGCTGTACCAACAACATTCAAAGACTGACACCTGAGATATTTTAAAGGTATACAAGTATTATAAATCATCTCGAGGTAATTTGTTCAGCATTAAGAAGCACAGAATAGCAAGTTTTGTATGTATCTACACATAAAATTACAAATTGTATGTAATCACACCTGCTTTATTTACAGAATCTCATTGATCACTGGGTTCAAAAGCAAGTAGGATTGTACTCAAAAATATTTGACAGAAATACATGACAATGACAGGAAAAAAACCCCTCATAAACCTATATTATGTAACTGTTTTCTCAGTCTGCATTCTCGCACTGCACAAAAATTTGGTGATGTAAAAAAAAAAAAA